TATCAAAATGTTGCCCTTTCTTATAAAAAAGTTATTTTTAATTTGTCTAAAATTAGTTTATAGAAAAAACTTTCAGTTTATTTCTCATAGTGCAATAGTCGATTTGAATTATATTTTAACTAATCTGTTTTAGTTGATCTAACAAATTTGAGTTTGAAAATGACTTTTCATTTTTAACAGAGGGTTGTTCAAATTGTTTATCACTAATAATCGAATTAAATTACGGGTTTTGAGCTTACATTAAATTGTAATTAGATGAAACAAAATGGATTCTATGTATTTTGAGGTGATCTTTTCGAAAAAAGGCAAAACAAAATGTAGCAGTTTTTCGAAAGTGCCAAAATTTTGGATTTTGTCAATTTTTCAATTTTGCGCATGCGCATGTCGCAAATAAATCATTATTTTTAAAACGCAGTTTACAATTGAAAGCTTAGAAAAAATGCTAATTTTTATGTCTCGGATGCACCGTTCTCGCGGTATGGACGATTGAAATTTGTTTAATATTTTGAGGCGGCGAAGGTCGAAAAATTGAATTTGTTAAATGTTCAAACACTAAATTCTTCATAACTTTGGTAAAAATTAAGATATTTGAAAAAACAAAAATTCGTTTTGAACTTAAGGGATGTGACTATTGATTCCCAGAAGGGGGCAAGAGAAATCCCAAAATTGGGCATATGGCGGAAGGGCAAAGTGTACCGCAAGCTTAATTTCATTGTTTGCCTATAACGGCCAAACTATTTAAATTTATTTAATGCCACTTACAGAGCTTACTCTTAAATATGAAATCTTATACGTGTGTGAATTTTACCGAAATCGGATTATAATTGGCCAAGATATCAAACAATTTATCAAATTTTTTTTTCCTAAAAAAGAACTAAATTTTTTTTCGAAAGTTTGAAGTGGCCCAAAAATGCCAAAAATGCACCTAATGACTCAAAACTCTTTTTTGAATACTCTATTATGTTTAGAATACGATTACATTACGGAAAATTCTGCAAAAATATTTTATTTATTTTTTTGACCACTGTTCATTGAGTGACGACCAAAAAACACGGTTTTTGAGAAAAGTTGCCTAAAATTGACGATTTTCAGTTTTTTGGTCTAAAAATTGAGCAAACCCAAATCTCACGTCTTCTCAATGTGTATACAAAGTTTAAAGTGTGTATGTTTCTAAGTTGTAGAATTCTCCCGACAAAAGTCCCATTATACGCGTTCCGCGGGATCCAAAACTCGTGCATTTCTGTAAATTGATTTTTTTGTGATTTCCCGTTTTAAATTTCTTACATACCTAAATTTATTAGGCCTAAAATTTATTAAATTGTATTTTACTGACTTGTTATAAGACGTTTCTTGAGTTTTGTGCAAAAAATAGAATTACCGCAAAATTAGACGGACGTCATATCAAGGATAGTCATGGTCTCGACGTTCGCTATCCGAAGTTTAAACTTGAAACGGTCATATTATTACAAATTGAATCGCTTGATAGTGTATATCGGCATAGATTTTTAATAACCGTGTTCAGCAAGCTCTGTGTACACGTGGTTTTTCGGACTTCTTCAGCAATTTATTAAGTACGTTCTTAAATTAAGAAAATTCTATCACAGTGCTATAATTTTTTTGTTTCCAGGTTGCAATGGCTGGAATGTGTTTATTATGTCATCAGAAACTTGCAGAGGGTGAACTTACCCCAATTAGACCGATAGGATTGAAAGGTCTGCAGATGGTCAGCAAAGAGAGAGGGGATGATTTTTTCAGTACTTTAGAACCAGGTTTTATATTGCATGAAAGGTGTCGCAAACATAACGTAGCTTGACGTTACGGAAAAGAGTTTATTTATAAAACCTGGGATAGGCTTAGGATTAATTTCCTAACATTTTTAAAGTATACCTTCTTGTATATTTTTTTGTGCTCTTTCCGATGGCGCAGTTAGTTTCTTCAAATATATTTTTTGTTACATGTTTTCGGAAAACCCGGAGAAAATCATATGGGGAAAAATTAAAAAAAAATTACGCCTTCCGGTTTCCTGCGAATTCCCGAAAAATTATGGCAGATTTCGCCGCGGGACTTATTTTATTTGAGAGCCCACAAAAAAATACGCAACTTCTCTCATGGGCACATATGTCTAACATTTATAATTTCGCCACAAATTCATCGCAAATTTCATGTTCATAATTCTGATCAAAGAAACGAAAAAACAACTTTTTGGTAAAAGCACTTCTGGCGGCGAGAAAATCGCCATTAAAACTACCTATGCAATGAAATTCCGAATTATTTTTGCCTCCTCTTTCGATTGGTGCATTTAATTTTACTATCAGAATGATACTTGCCCAGATAATTAGCATTTTTACCATTGAAAATTCCGGAAAACCCGGTTTTTCCTAATTTAAAAAAAATTAAAAAACTGCTACCTCATTTTTTTTCTTTTTTTCGGAAAGATCACATCAAAATACACAAGGTCCACTTTGTGTTATCCAATTACAAATTAATATAAGCTCGAAGGGGCTTTTTTCGTTATTTAATTGGACTATAATAGGTACTAAGTTTACGTTTGCAAATAATTTCTTGTTTTTCGTTGCAGATTAGTAAATCTATCTTACGCTACTGTGTATGTGCTTCAGCCTCAACATTTTATAAAATCTGACTGTTTGGGTTGAGTATTGAGTATAGTTGAACTGGATATACTATTAGCTAATAAAATTGGTACAGAATTTGCAATTAGTCGTTTACGTTTTGAAGCACAAAGATAGCGAATTTTATTATCTAAAGATAAATGTAAATTCTTAAAACAGTTTTCGCGAATTTTAATATCGGAAGGAAAATGAAAAAAGGTTTTATTGAATAACCAGCCTGCTGAATATTAGAATAATACTTATTTAAATTAAGGGGCTGAAAAAGATTACTTAATTTTACCAGGGCCAGACATGTTTTGTTAGAACTAGGTATATTAAAAAAGAATTGAAAATCGATCCAAAATGAAATTAAGAAATTATACTTCGTTTCTTCGTTAAGGCTATAAGAAAACAATGATAAACAAAGTCCTTAAACAAATCTAACACCTTATTAAATTATATTGTTAATATTATTAATTTCATCAAAACAGCACTTATCAATCTTCTTAACCTAATAATAACTTACCCATCGAAGGATAATTATATCCACAACATCATGATAACTTTTATTTTATGATGGTTTTTGTGCATTTTTCGACCATTTCGCCTTCCGCCATTCCGTTCTTCATTTTTAATGAGGTTATCAACACAGTTGCCAAACCTCTCTTTAAAATATCTCAGCAATAGTATGGCCATTGTATGGATGGTATCGAGCACGACAAAAACAAAATAAGGTGCAGATTTGAAATAACTCTAATCTCAGGAAAGTTTATGGAAACTGACAACATCGCTGTCATCTTATTTACGACGGTGGCTCCAAGTAGTATGGCCGGGAACTACCACTTGTTACCAGTGCCGTGCATTTAAACGGTTTATCTTTTAATATTAATTTATCTATGCAGTACGTGCTCAGTCTGGACGAGGAAATTGTACCATACAGCACCGTACAGATTACAGCGAGCTTTTAGGATTTATTTCGCCTGGAGAAGAACCAGGAAAACGTTTTACTTCTCCTGGATTTAAATAATCAGCGTGATATCTTAAGAGAGCAAAGCGCCAGTTCTATTACAACACCATAAAAAAGAATATCCTTGACAGGAAATCGACCATCGATTCCTTTTTCTTTAATGTGATAGATAAAATAATAAAACAGCCACGACATCATCCTCATCCTTCATCTTTGTTTTAATTTTACGAATGTTCTGGGTATACGGCTGCATATTCGCGAATTTACTGGATCAGTGGCGAAAAGTGCCTTGTGTGTCCACCATTCGTGAATACAAAATGCGTCGCACGAGGCATTCGGTTCGGCCTCGGCTTGCCTCATACGCGTACGTGCTCAGATCTGTACCCGCCTTTATATGGGTGCCTTTTGGCTTCTTTAAGAATTTTTAAAACGCTTATGTGACTGACACCATGAACGCGAGCTATTAGCCTAGCTGGGTTTCTTCGTCGATTTTTAAAAGCTTTTGTTGAGAAGCATCCCTTACGATATCGAGTTTCAATTTTGCTAATCATACTTCGATTAATTGAAGGGAATTCTGGATGAACTTCAGTAAACAAACGAGCGACTTCAGCCTGTGTTCGACTTCTGTCCCCATATCCGATCATCATTAAAATTTCAATACGAAGCGTCTTGGTTAAATAGGGCATTTTCTTATTTATTAATTTACACGTTAAAATGCAAACAAGTAGTAACAAATCAATCACATTCAGTTTAAATTGACTATCGAGCAGGTTTTTTATTGGGCTTATCAAATAAGAAAAAATGTACCTATAAATTAAAGTAATTTCAGTAAATATTTCCTTATTTAATTTTTTTCTGACACATTCCTTATAAAAAGTAACAAAAAAAAATGTAATTATATTTGTAATTGAAAAAGCTTTTAAATAAAAAATTAATCAACCTACCCTTCCATTTATAAAAAAAGTTGGGGGTGTCTGCAACCCCCCAGATAATTAAAAAGATAAACAAATCTGTTTGTAATATGCCCCTTTGAAAATAAAAATTGTGTTTCAGGAATTTTGCGACAAACCTTTACTTATCAAGTTACAGAATTTGTTCCAGTTAGACTTTCCACTCTGCATATGATTTTTGTTTAAATTTTCTTATATCTAAATTGTGTGCATGTAAACCGAGGTAGTTTAAAATAGCATATGTGTTTTTGGGGTTTCTAATTAAGTTTCAATTTTTTACTTGATTTTACTTATCTAGACCTATAGGTTTATTGTCATAATTCAAAAATCATTTCTAATTTGTATTCTTTTATATCTTACACCTCTCCATTCGATAAGTCTTGTAAGTAATTGGTAGAAATCCTTTAAACATTTATATAGCATTAAATTGAAGTGCAAGTAAATTTAAAAAATAAAAAAAAAACATTTTTTTAGAACTGGGAATTTGAATGGTACTCCGATGACCCAAAAAATAGCTACGTGAAGAATGGTAAATTACATATTAAACCAACACTTGTAGCAGACGAGTATGGAGAAGATTTTTTATACCATGGTACAATTGAAATCCCATCTAACAAGTAAGTGCTTTGAGATAGTTTAATATTGGGAGCTATTAAATAAAATTTTGATCATGTATACCAACATACACGTTTAAAATATGTTACCGTAAAGTGGGGTTACTTTGCACAACATTTTTGTTTTTTCTTTTGGAATTATAAAGCCCGCTCTAACTATATAAAAATTTAATACTTTGGCTACATAGTTTTGTAACTATAAAGCATAAAAAAAATGGAACCACATTTTTTAAAAGTTTAAAAAGTTGGCAAAGTTACCTCGACTTTGGGGTTACTTTGCCGACTGGCATTTTTGCACGTTTTTAAGCGTACAGGCCAAGTTAACAGTCTCGAAGGGTTACTTTATCCTCCTTTAATGTGTTTAAAAAAAATATTTTAATAAACATAATTCATTTTTACATTAAAAATCTGATGTGTCCAACACATGACTTTCCTATCTAGTTATTATAGGCTTTTTTCGGTTATTTTGTACAACCTATTGCAGCACCTCTATTGATGTTTAGAGGATAAACTAAATATATACATTTCCCACATACATCTAACTCGAAACATTTTTCTAGATATTCATTGAAAACAAAAATAGGTACTGAAAAATTTTAATCTAGCATTTTTCCTCCAATTTTTTCATTACGGTCTATTTTAGAAAAATCATGTAAAAAAAATTATAGAGATCGATATTGCAAACAACCTTAAGTTCAACAATTTTCTTAAAAATCAGAATTTTGCACATTTTGTCAAATTTCTCGAATACGGACCATTTCATGAAATTTTGACATGGAGCAAAAATTATAGATAATAATATTAGAAGTAACTTTTATTTGAACAATTTTCTTCTCCAAACATAAGTAACAGACATATTCCATAAAATATAAAAACGGCCTCCCATAAAGTACCCCCCAGATGTTCTGACTTTGTCCAAAATCTAATCATTTCACGTCAGGCCGAAATAGAACTTAAGTTTAAAATTTAATGTTTTTTTTTATCCGTTTTTGAGTTTTCTTCAAAATTCGAAATTTACACATTTTCTCAAAAACCAATCAGATCATTGGACGATGGAATAAAGCTTAAGTTTAAAATTTGGTGTTTTTCTGTGTATCAATTAATGAGTTATGGTGGATACAGACACAGACACACAGACACACAGACACACAGACACACAGACACACAGACACACAGACACACAGACACACAGACACACAGACACACAGACACACAGACACACAGACACACAGACACACAGACACACAGACACACAGACACACAGACACACAGACACACAGACACACAGACACACAGACACACAGACACACAGACACACAGACACACAGACACACAGACACACAGACACACAGACACACAGACACACAGACACACAGACACACAGACAAACAGACAAACAGACAAACAGACACACAGACACACAGACACACAGACACACAGACACACAGACACACAGACACACAGACACACAGACACACAGACACACAGACACACAGACACACAGACACACAGACACACAGACACACAGACACACAGACACACAGACACACAGACACACAGACACACAGACACACAGACACACAGACACACAGACACACAGACACACAGACACACAGACACACAGACACACAGACACACAGACACACACAGACACACAGACACACACAGACACACAGACACACAGACACACAGATACACAGACACACAGACACACAGACACACACACACACAGACACATAGACACACAGACACACAGACACACAGACACACAGACACACAGACACACAGACACACAGACACACAGACACACAGACACACAGACACACAGACACACAGACACACAGACACACAGACACACAGACACACAGACACACAGACACACAGACACACAGACACACAGAAACACAGACACACACAGACACACAGAAACACAGACACACACGCACGCACGCACGCACGCACCCACACACACACACACACACACACACACACACACACACACACACACACACACACACACACACACACACACACACACACATACACACACAGACAGACATCATCGCGAAAATAGTCAAAACGGATTCAGGGGACCTCAAAACGAATGTAAAAATTTGTCTTGGTGTCGATCAGGGGCGTGCGGCCCATGGAAGCGGGGGAAGCAACGCTCTGAGATTTAAAAATATTTTTCAATTTACAATGCATAGAAATTATTATTAAATTAGGTAGTATATTTTTCTGAAACTTCGTAAACTTCGTAAATGTACTGACAATTTATTGGTGTAATGTGTACACGCACGCACCACCCATGAGAAAATTAATTGTGTAAACGCACACATCATATACTTCGAGGCCGTCGGAGGAAGCGCGTCTTGAAAAAGCCGACTCATCTTCCAATTGATTTCGCTTCGTGTTATTGACCCTACTTTGCCGCGACAGTAGTCAGTCTGTTTGAACACGTGAAATACGTTCGAAAGGCAGCGATTTTTACGTCGCCTTACGCATATTGCATTTCGCACTGTCAATCGACGTGTGAGGAAAATCGTAGACTTCAGATAGATTTCGGTTTGTTTTTCGTAGCTGTTTTTCTTTTTGTAAAATGGAGGAACTTTGCACTGTACCTGTGAACAATAATAATGTGGTAAATTGTGTCTGTATTGTGTGCTCTTTATTAAAAAAAAGATTTTCAAGTAGAAATTTTGAAGAGAAAACGGACATTATTAATTCTAGTAGACTAAAGGATCCTATCAATTTAGAGACGAAAGTAAAAAAGTAAGCAAAGAAATTTACCAGGCATTTTTACGTAGGGTTCTATAAAAAGTATTAATGGTTAACCGGCTACAAAACTTTGAACAAATTGTTTTGCTGGCCTTGCCTACTTTTTAATATAGCCGAAAGAACATATTGGAGCTCAGTCGGTATTACAGACTTGAATAATTTTCACAAAAGTGTAAAACGACATGTAAATAGTAAATCTCATATAAGAGCTACAATTAAAGAAAAAACATTCGTTACCTACCGTATTGAATATAGATTGGACAATCATTTAAAAATAAGCAACAAAATTCACAATGAAAGGGTAAAAAAAAAATAGGGACGTCTTACAAAGATTAATAGATGTAACTTGCTTCCTGGGAGAGCATGAACTAAGTTTTAGGGGTCACAATGAAGCAAGTGGATCCGCCAATCGAGGAAATTACATGGACCTTTAAGCAAAATACAATGATACCCTAAAAAATCATTTTATTGATTCGACGACTTGATGATTTAATTAAATGCACTGCCGACGCTGTGATGGATCACATTAAAAGTGAAATTAAAAAAGCACCTTTCGTATCAATTGCGCTTGATGAAAACACAGATGTAGCAAACTTAAGTCAATTATCCATTTGTTGTGCGATATGTATTGGATGGCATTCCTCAAAGCGATTCTTAGGATTTTTGAACGTCACCAGCGAACGAATTGCAGATGCATTATTTAAAATTGTTTGTGACATTATTTCAAATTTAGAATGTGATTCTAAGCTTTTTGCCCAGAGCTACGATGGTGCTGCCGTAATGGCTAGCCATTTAGGAGGCCTGCAAGCTAAAGTGATAGAGAAGTTTAAACATGCAATTTTCGTTCACTGTATAGCACATTGACTTAATTTGGTTTTATCGCGAAGCATGGATAATTTTCAAGATTGCAAAGTTTTCTTTTTAACGCTTAATGGTTTGGCTTAATTCTTTTCAAAGTCATCGAAAAGATCTCGCGCTTTGGACGTTCACGTTCAAAAAAAGGTTTCTAAAAGTTGCTCCGACGCGATGGAACTACAATGGACGTTTAGTGCAAACAGTGGTTCATTACCGTGATTCTTTCACACACTTTTTTCAATACGTTTGAGATAATAAAGAAACATGGGATGCTGAGAAACTGTTACTGCTGCTAAAGGGTATTTGCATTGGCTCAAACAAAACTTTGATTTTAATTTTTTGCATTTTTGTAGAGATTTTCCCTTTTACTGACATTTTATTCGACATTTTACAGACAAAGTCAAATGACATTGGCTTTTGCATTAAACAAATTGATGATTTTAAAAATAAAATGAATAAAAAACGAGATCAGTTTGAACACTTTTGGAATTAGTCTCAAAACATTGGCTTGGAACCTGAAAGAAAGAGAATTAAAATTGATAATGTCGGCGACAGAGAGAGCTCCTATCGTCGATAATACGCCGAAAGTTTTGATAATATTTTACAACAAATAATCTCTCCATTTCAAACCTTTAACAAATTAAAATTTGTCGAATTGTGCAATTTTAATATTAGTAACTACGATTCATCAAAATTTCCATCGGAAGCTTTTAATTCACTAAAATTAAATTATGGAAATTTTTTCGATATTCCAGCATTAAAGTCCCAGTTAAGTGTTGTTTATGAAACAACTGAAATTAGTGATAAAAAGAAACCAATAAATATGTTAAATTTTCTTATAACAATTGGTTTAAATAAGACCCTTTGTGAAGTCGTCAAGTTGTGTACATTAGTACTAACCATCCCAGCCACAAGTGCATCAGTCGAGCGAAGTTTTTCAGCTTTAAAGCGCATTAAGAGTTTTATACGAAATTCAACAAGTGAAGACAGACTCTCTAATTTAGCCCTAATATCCATTGAAAAAGAGCTTGTTAAACAGTTATCAGAAAATCCAAAATTTTACGACGATGTTATAGACAAATTTGCAGCCATTGAGGATAGACGAATACATCTTAAGTATAAATAAATGTCAAATTCTGTGTCAACTGTGCGAAAAATGCTGAAAAAAATTTAAAAAAAACTTCAGTTAAATGTTTTTTTACGTTTAAATAAAACAAGGAAGCTTTTCAATGGTAAGTTTTTTTATAGCTTCTAGTACTAAACTAGGTAATAAAGTAATAGTAACACTTCAAAAATATCAATCTCGAATATCCGTAGTACTGAAAAGAAGCAAAGTTTTGACAAAATGGTGAATGCGCCGCGAAAAATTT